AAAAAAAATAAACGAAATAAAATTTAAATATATAATGAAGTCGAATATCAATATTATTAATAATCGAAGAATATATAGAAATATTTATGAATATAAAATCGAAAAAAATTAAAATATAAAATAAAATATCGAAGAAAATTCTATTTTTAGTTCTACAATTTTCTATCAAAGAAATATTGTATGCTTAAAGCCAAAATCAAAAAAATATAAATAATTTCAAATAGCCAATATCTCATTTAATTTATAAAATCATAAATTTCAAACAACAAATTCGAGAAACTCTCATTTTTATCGATAAAAATCAATTATTTGTGTATATCTTTTTTTTAGAATATTAATATTAATAAAATCAATATAATATAGAAATAAATGGAAAATTCTAAATATCATATTTCAATCTTTGAAAGATCTTATTCTTATTAATATTCAATTAAACAACACAAAAAAGAACCCTATCAATCAGACCCAATCATATTATTTAATAATATAATACTCAATTGGACTATAAGATCCTCTATATAAGTCGAATTCGAAAACATTTTTAGAGATGATACAATCGCATCCATTTTGGTATATTATCGTGAAAGATAGAAAAAATAGATTCATAAAGTATTTGATATCTTATCTGTCGTTTGTTTTTGTATTAATCGTATAACATACGAATCAATCGATTTTCTCAAATCTTCGCCTTGTGTTGTAGCCCCGATAGGGCCTGCCGTTGTAGGCGCACCTGTATCTATGAACAGACATGGTAGCTTCATGCATGTATCGTAGAGCATCTTTATTGACGTGCTGAGAGATCGGCGCAATCGGCCACCAGGTACAAAGAGCCGCAAATCACGATCTGTGTTGCAACCTGAAAACGCCAGTATCAGCTTTTGCGCAGCAGCAAGCAGATTGTCTACTACCCCGGTCCCACCCTCCGAGCAGGCCACCGAATCCATCTTCACGGCCTGCACAGCCCCCAAAACCTAAAACTCAAACCGTAATCTTTTTTGCATCACGACCCTAAAGCCTAAACCCTAATCACTAAACTCAAAACAGGTTAGGTCAATGGGCCACGAGATCCTGCCTCAAGGGCTGCTGGAAGATCCAGGCAGGCCTGGACTCGTCCTGACAAACATCTGCCAAAAAGGGGTTCAAGGGATTTTTTGACACTCACACTCGGTTTAAGGTTTGGGGTTTAGGGTTGCGGGGTGTAGGTTTCATATTTGTTGAAAGCCTTTTTGTGGTGCGCAGTATGTGACTTATGTGGCGTAGATGCTACGGTTCAAAGTTTTGGAATGTAAACAGCTGAGGGGAAGAAAGCGCTTGGTTGGCCACGAATTTCCCGGTTAAGCCTACTGCTGTACATACTTAGTACATAAAGGGTTCAGGTTCCAGACACTAGGCAAACAAGGTTTCGGCACGCACACTCGGACACTCCAGGCGAGGCTGGTCTAGCATCGCTCGGACCATCTGCATGATACATATCCACTGTCAAGGAAAGGGAATCGAAGAAACATGAACCAGCCTTTCTGACAGATGGACCCTTGAAGTTTACGCTCCACACAACTCGGACAAGCAAGGCGAGGTTCCATAGGTGTTGGTCGGCGTGAAACAAACACAAGACGCTTGCCCAGTAGGGTTTAGGGTGTTGGCGCTCTCTCTGTCGGGCAGCCAGTCGGGATTCAGGTTTAGGGTATTTGATACGCAAAGCAGGAGAAACTGAAAGACGCATGAAACTGATGATGCAGAATATACTACTTACTACTTGATACTACAAATCTCTGTCTCTCTCTCTCTCTATATATATATATACACATAATTAAACTACTGCAGCACATGTTATAGACGGCATCCTACCCCAACACAGGCCAGGGCGTCTCAGATGAGGTCGTACAGATCTGATCGAAGTCAAGATCTCATCCGGAGCCTGGCAGCATCCGGGCAGGTTCTTCGAAACGAGAATCACTCCTAAAGTCCGTATTCTTCATCAGCAGAGCCGAGAGTTTCATGCATCTGGAAATCCCGACATTAGAAGCTCTGCGGAGGATTGCAGCTTCAGAAACTCCGCCTGCGCTTGCACCCAAGGCATCCCCTCCACTGAGGAGAAGCCGACAGCGTACACCGCATCCTGGCTGGTGCCGTCGTTTCAGGGTAGGCTCGGTTTCTTCCCTCTCGCATAGATCCCGCTCGGTTAGGGTGCAAGGCTCCGGGTGGACCATACCAAAACCCCCATGAAGATTCCCAATTGGCCAACCAAGGGTCACGGCCGGGTATGAGCTAGAGGTACAGTAAAGCTTTCAGGGCAAAGCAAGCGCCACAAGGCAGTTACGGGCTCATCCTGATCTGAGCGGAGCAGCTCACGGAGGATGGCTTCGGCATCCTGGCGCATCTCGGCTTGACTGCACAGGATATTCGGCAGATTTCGATGGGTGTGCGGACAAATCCAATAGAAGAAATACAAAAAGCTCGACAGAGCACAATCAAGCAGCACAAAGGCTAAATGCCACCATGTGCTTTATACATTCTGACCAGCATATCAGCATACCTTTAGGTACAGTCTGGAAGGCTACGGCCAGGCGATGGTTCCCGTTCCAGGGTAAGCGCCTTGCCCGCACTCAAGGCGATGACCTGAGCGACCAGGCACATACAGTTTAGGGTTTAGGGCTCTCGCAACTCGGACTCCGCAAGACGATTTACTTCCTTCCACTGTGCTCTGTTGTGTTGGGTGATGTGAAGAGAGAACAAACAAGATGTATAGCTGTTTGCTACACGGAAAACACGCACGCACGCACGCACGCACATAGTCACAGTTATATATATATATATATATTGATTTATTTATCTATTTGTTTGTTTATTTATGTATGTATGTATGTACGTA